TATACTGCTTCATAGGGCTTTCCAGCTTCCCACTCCTAAGCGGTTTATAGAGTCAGCCTCTTTCCCCAACAATCTGGGTCCTCATTTGATCAGGATCGAACTCCTGACAGCAGGCAGAATTTGCTTCCAATGCTGCATTCTAACCACTGCGCCATCAGGGCTCAAGACAGACAGACAGACAGAGAGACAGAGAGATTGTAAATGATAGATAGAAAGAAAAATAGATAGATAGATAGACAGACAGACAGATGGATGATAACAATAGCACTTATATACCGCTTCACAGTGCTTTCCAGCCCTCTCTAATCAGTTTGCAGAGTCAGCCTATGGCCCTCAACAATCTGGGTCCTCGTTTTACCCACCTCAGAAGGACAGAAGGCTGAGTCCACCTTGAGCCGGTCAGAACTGAACTGCTGGCAGTGGGCAGAATTAGCCTGCAGTACTTCATTCCAACCAGAGTGCAAGAGAGAGGGAGGAGAGATTGTAGATAATAGACGATAGATGGGGAGGGAGGGAGGGAGACAATAAGTAGATAGGTAGGTAGGTATGTAAGTGGAGGGATAGAGGGATGATAGCAATAGCCCTTAAGACTTATATACCACTTCGCAGTGTTTTTCAGCCCCTTCTAAGTGGTTTACAGAGTCAGCCTCTTGCCCCCAACAATCTGGGTCCTCATTTTACCAACCTCGGAAGGACGGAAGGCTGAGTCAACCTTGAGCCTGGTGGGATTCAAACTGCCCAACTGCAGACAGACAGCAGAAGTAGCCTGCAGTGGTGCACTCTAACCGCTGCGCCACCGGCGGCTCTTAACAGTATGTCAAAGGTTCATGGACCAGAAGCAGGGCTGCCTTCCTTCCTTAAGGGCTCGTGTTAACCAAGGAGAACCGAGCCCGGCAGGAGATGACAGGCCCGTCCCAGAAAGAGCTAGGAAAGCTGCTCAGCCACAAAGGGAGGCTTCCGTCCCAGGGAAGCCCATCACTTAAGCGGTTGCCCGTAGCAGTTTTCGGCTCCCATTTAAAAGCTCTTCGCCTCCAACACAACCATTCATCTCTTTCCCCCTCTTCTCTTCTCCGGGCTCCTCTGCTACTTATCTCTCATTCCCCTCCGGAGACGTTGGCATTTTTCAGGCCATTGATTTCATGCTGTAACTGGTGTGTGTATGTAGTGTGTGTGTGTGTGTGTGTGTGTGTGTGTGTGTGTGAGAGAGAGAGAGAGAGAGAGAGAGAGAGACAGACAGACAGACAGACAGACAGACAGACACACACACACACTTTCAGGGAAGCCAAGCACGCACTTCACAATGTGTTGCTGCTGTTTTTGAGACTGGGAGGGAGGGATACTGGCTCCGTTTGCACAATGTTGTGTCCGCACACAACGGTGGGCTCCTTTCTTGAGGACCAGCAGTAGCCAAAAAAGCCAATGCAATCCTAAGTTGCATTAACAGAGGGATACAATCAAGATCAAGGGAGGGACTAATACCGCTCTATAAAGTCTTAGTAAGGCCACACCTAGAGTCCTGCATCCAGTTTTGGTCACCACACTATAAAAAAGATGTTGAGGCTCTAGAAAAAGTGCAGAGAAGAGCAACCAGGATGATGAGGGGACTGGAGGCTAAAACATATGAAGAACGATTGCAGGAACTGGGCCTGGCTAGTCTAGGGAAGAGAAGGACCAGGGGAGACAGGAGAGCAGTCTTCCAATATTTGAGGGGCTGCCACAAAGAGGAAGGGGAATCAAGCTATTTTCCAAAGCACCTGTAGGCCAGACAAGGAATAATGGATGGAAACTGAACAAGGAGAGATTCAACCTGGAAATAAGGAGAAACTTCTGACCGTGAGAACAATCAACTAATGGAACAGAAGTTGTGGGAGCTTCATCACTGGAAGCTTTCAAGAAGAGACTGGACTGCCATCTGTCAGAAATGTGGCAGGGTCTCCTGCTTGGGTGGGGTGGGTGGGGTTGGACTAGATGACCTACAAGGTCCCTTCCAACTCTGATTATCTGTCTGTTAGTGGGAGAAAACAGGATCCTGCCAGGATGTAAGGATGCTGAACTGGCTGTCACAACATGGAGAATTGAGCCAGATCTCCATCAAATCAACAGGGTTCTTATTACAGGTAGTCCTCGACTTATGACAGTTTGCTTAGCGACTGTTCAAAGTTACCCTGAAAAGGGGGACTTTTGACTGTTTTTTTACACTTATGACCATTGCGGCATCCCCATGGTCATGTGATTTACATTCAAATGGTTGACAACTGGCTCATATTTATGACGGTCGCAGTGTCCCCGGAGGTCACACGATCCCCTTTTGAGACCTTCTGACAAGCAAAGTCAATGGGGAAGCCAGATTCGCTTAACGACTGGGTGACTCATTTAACAACTACAGGGATTCACTTAACACATGTGGCAAGAAAATTCGTAAAATGGGGCAAAACTCAACTTAACAAATGTCTCACTTAACAACAAAAAATTTGGGGCTCAGTTGATTATAAGTCGAGGACTACCTGCACTGACTCTCAATTGATGGATTAATCGATGACTGATATATTAACCAGGTATTGTTTTGCCTCCCTCCCACCTCACTGTAAGCAACCCGGGGATGGAAACGACACAGCAATCTGATAAACAACAGCAAATAGAAACAAAAATGCAAAATAAAGACCCACAGAAAGAACCATCTTCAACGTAGGAGGAAAAACACCAACCAGAGGATGGGGGAAAAGATAAAAATGGCTCCCTCGAGGATGCAGCCACCTGAGCAAGTGTCTGCCTGGTGGCTCCAACCTAGCCAGGTCTTGAGGATGCTCCGGAAGACCCGAAGGGATGGAGCTCATTTAATTTCAGACCTTCCGTGCATTGAGTGCCATGGCAGAGACAGCCCATCTCCTGGGACCCATCCAATAGGGCCCCTCGCTTGCACCGATGATGTTCCTGAGTTTGGTAATCAAAGGTCTGCAAGGAAACCACCAAGCTCAGAGAGCACCAAAGACCCAACAGCCGCCCTCCTTCTACCCCTCCTCCTCCTCCTCCTCTCCACAACCCCTCCTCCCTTCAAGCACTGATGATGCTATCTAGTTGGGTCATGAAACGTCTGCAAGGAAATCAGCCAAGCTCAGAGAGCACCAAGGACCCCACACCTTGAGGACAGACTACATTTCTCTCACCTGGGCAGGTAACCTATTCCCCAAACAGGCTAATCTTTATCTTGTCTAGACAGACTGGATTGTTGTAGGCCACCCCAGAGTGCTTTCCATGACATGGGTGGCTATATACATTTGCTGAATAAATCCATAATGTATTTAAAAAAACAACAAAAACAAAACCTCAAATTATTGGTCCTGTTCTGGGACATCTACTGTCTCACCTGGATTCTGCGAAGATCAGAGAAGCAGCTGGGGATTACTTGGGCATTGACACTGATTCAGTACACATTTTTAGTGGTGTCGTGTCAAATAACGTGGCAACCAAGCTGAGCTCCGTGGAACTTCATGACCTAACACTTCATGGAGTATTTCAATAAGCCCACGCTCTCACTTTCGGCAAACAGCCAGCCATACAGACAAAGAGCCGCTCTTAAAATGCTGCTCCAAACTCAAGACAGTTTAATGGAAGAAAGCGGCTGGGGACCCCTGGTATAGATCACTACTAAAATGCCTAGTCATTAAGGCTCATCCTGCTTCAGGCATGAAAGGCAGCAGGTGACTTTGGGCTAAGTCATTCTCTCTCAGCCTGTTGTGGTTCGCCAGCAGCAGGTGTGGACGGCTGAGGTCTCTGACAAGTGAGGACTCGGACGAGGGGCCTGCGTGAGAAGCAAGGATGGGGTCAGGACTATCGGAGAGTGGGGTGCTGCCTGCAGAGCTTGGGGGGGGTCTGGCAGCAGTGACATAGAGGACCCTGAGGACCCTGTGCCCAGTACACATGCACGCAGGGCTGCTCGAAGGAAAGAGCAGCCGAAGCAGCATGGGAGACTCTGGAGTAAGGCTGGAAGGTGATGGGCCCTCCCATAAGGGATAAAAGCCAGCCTTTGGGGTTGGCTTCTTTGCGGGAAGCAAAGAAGTTCTTTCTGCTCAGAGTCCTCGTTGAAGCCCTGCTTACTCCGGGTTTTTTTTTTTTTTTGGAAACTTCTGGCTTGGGATATTTATCTGCAATTAGTCTTTTGTTCTTGGCAGCCTTTTGCAACCTTGAAAGGGCTTGCTCTCACCTGTTAGTTTTGAATGACTCTTGGCTGTGAATGAACAGAGTTCACAGCGCCGCATTAAAAAGGTTTGCTTTGATAGATACTTTGGTTTGTTTGATTTGAACCAGGCTTGGGTCAGAACAGAGCCCAAACCACCTCACAGGGTTGTCACTGTGCAGACAAAGAAGAGAAGGAAGATGCATCAGGTATGTTCACCACCATGAATCACTGATAAAAATAAAGGTGGGATAAAAATAAGTATTTTGTGGATGCCTAATTTTAAAGCCTCACATGAAATCTCAACCATTTTGACTTCAAATCAGACAACGACATCTAGAAGGCCCCACAGATCAAAGAGAGCAGGCTGGCACTTTTAATAAAAGTTAAAGGATAATACATTTGTAGCTCAGGGTTGAAGTGAGAGGTGCTCTCTGAGCTTGGTTGTTTTCTTGCAGATGTTTCATTACCTAACTGGATAACGCCATCAGGGCTACCATATACAGCAAGGGTCTTCAAACTTAGTTTGAGACTTGTGGACTTCAACGCCCAGAATTCCTGAGCTAACGTGAATGGAGGAAGAATTTGGGGAGTTGGAAGTCCACGAGTCTGAAAGCTGTCAAGTTGGAAGACCCCTGTTATAAAAGGTTCCTGGCCAAATCATTCTGAGATGCCTTCTGCAGGCCCACTCCTTTAAAAAAAAGACTGGAATTGCAATTCTGACCTCATCTGTCAAAGTCAAAAGGGACTATGGCAACAAAATAAAACAATGATGGGAATTCTGCCATACCTCTGAAGCGGAGAGGCATGTCGGCCACAGCCTTACCTTCTTTGCTTTCTGACACTTTAGGTTTCTCTTCTTCATCCAAGCTGGGGACCCTCCTCTGGTCCTCCTTCTCTGACACCTCATCCAAGCTGGTGTCCATGGCCATGGCGTCCACGAGCGACTTCTGGTCCTGGGTCTTGTGCCTTCGGGGTTGGCTTCGTTTCCTGTTTGCCCTGGATTGGGAAAAGGAGACAAAGGTTCGCAGGAAATCTTGAGCCACGGACTGGCCAGAGAAAACACGGAGAAAAATCCACTGACAGCATTCATGGCAGGCATTGGGGTGAGGGTGGAGGGGCAGAAGTTCACATTTCCACACTCAGCAGGATCCCATAAAAGTATATTCGCAGGTCATTTCTGTTCAGAGTATTGCAGCATCAATTCAGCGCCAGAAAAGTAAAGTCAGATGGCTGAGGCATCATTTAACTTCTTTATAATCACGTAAAGTAAATTTTACAAACCGTTAAAGATTTCTCCAACGTGGAGCGAACTCAAACAGAAGCAGACTTGTTACAGGTTCAGAGCAGAGCAACAATGCAACTTCAGTAGACAAGCAAGCGAGTTAAGTTTCTCTTTCCTGTGAGAGCTGAGCACAGAACAGAGAGAAACCAAGCCCAGATTCTCTCTTTCGGTTTCAGCCCTCAACTCAGCTCTCGTTGGCTGACCTGGTTACAAAAACTCTATTCCAGTTCATGAATTGACTCTGACAATTTCCCCTCTTTGCAGACAACTGGACAGTGGAGGGGAAGAAACTCATTTCCTCTGTTCTTCCTCAGTTTCAAATTTCAACAGAACGTTTATACACTTTGGAAATGACGTGTTCATCATCTGCGCACAATTGAATCTTTTAGAATCTTTTGGGTAACTGTAAATGGTCAAACCACGGACAACTAGATCCTAGTGTCATTCATTTTATAACCATATGATCTGTGAGAGCCATGGTGGCGCAGTGGTGAGGGTGCAGCATTTGCAGGCTAACTCTGCCCACTGCCGGGAGTTTGATCTTGACCGGCTCAAGGTGGACTCGGCCTTCCATCCTTTCGAGGTGGGTAAAACAGGGACCCAGATTGTTGGGGGCAACAGGCTGACTCTGCAAACTGCTTAGAGAGGGCGGTAAAGCACTGTGAAGCAATCCCACCTAGGGTGGGATACAAACGTAACAAAATCCAAAACGTAAATAAATGTCCTTTAAGGCCTCCAACTTGGCCCCACGGTTCAATATTTCTCCGTTGGGAGATAAAACGTACTCAAAAATAGCCTTCAAAAGAAAGCAATACAGTCCGAACTTAATGAGCAGATAGAGGTGAAATCAAAAACAAAAACAAACGACAATGACGAAATTTCCAGAACGGAACAGGAGAAGTATTTACCAAATTCAAGGAGATAACAAGGCAGTCTGTTGGAAGGACGCCAACCAAGATAACTTCAGACCAAAATAACACACGCTTTGCAATGCTGTGTTGTAACCGTCTCTCTTATATACTATTCTCCCCAGCTGCAACCAATGAGGGGGATCATGGCCGCTTCCTCTCTCGTAAGCCAAGTTGTTCCCTTCTCCGTTCCTCCCTGCGTGTCCTAGGATGCAGAGGGGATGAGCCTGGCTCTTCCTCTGACTGCCCAGCCAGCCTCTGCCCTTCCCCAGCCTTCTCCACAACCTCCGGTTTGTTTCCAGAGTTCGCCAGTACGCAGGTCCAAACTCTTATTCAGTTATCACAGCTGCAGCCCATGAAGAGGATCAAGGCCCTTCCCTCCCCCGTAGACCACGCCATTCACGTCTCTCCCTTATGCCCTAGGATGGAGAGGGGATGGGCCTGGGTCCTCCTCTGACTGCCCAGCCGGCCTCTGCCCTTCCCCAGCCTCCTCCACAACCTCCGGAGCCTCCCTTCCGCTCCCTGTCGGCTGTTCCTCCTCTCCCTCAGAGTCCAACTCCAACAGGGGCATGACAAGCGGTAAGTGCTATTGCTACTGCTCTCTAACTCACACTACAACAAAGTCGTGTGAAGGACAAAGTCACCTGAAAATCTCACCTTGGATTAAAGCCAATGGAATAATAACAGAGAAGACTCTGAAGAACTGCTAGGAACTGATATTATAGGGAAGAGTTCGCATTTCAACCCTTTTATTCACTCTTTCCTCAAGTGCCTTCCTGTGAACAAGAATCTTTTGTGTTTTGCAGACATTAACACCGGGGCACGATAAATGCCAAAACATCAGAGCCTTTCAATCTTGCCATATTAAATCATCAAATCCAAGAAAGACGGCAACCTTCCTTTCTCTCAAAACCTCAGACGAACCTCTGATGCGGCCTAAAGCTTTGAGAGAAAGGCTGCACAGACACCCGCCTTCGTTTAGACATACTGGCTCTAAACTGAAGGTTAGCTCACTTGCTGGAGCCAACATCCCTTTTATCTCAGTAAACCTTTGTTAAAGAGGGAATTCTTCTGTGAGAATTGTTCTTGGGGAAGTATTTTTTTTTTTTTTTTTTTGCAATTCAGACAGCTAGCAAAAATCCTCGGTGTTCTCTGAGCTTGGTTGTTTTCTGGAAGATGTTTCATGACCCAACTAGGTAACATCATCAGGGCTAGAAGGGAGTGGGGTTTGTGAGGAGGAGAACGGTGACTATGGGGGTCATTGACGCTCTCTGAGATTGGTGTGGTTTTTGCAGGTATTTCATGACCCAACTAGGTAACATCATCAGTGCTGGAAGGGAGTGGGGTTTGCTTTCTGTTAACACAGGGGTCCCCAACCACCGGGCCCCGGACCGGTACCGGTCTGTGGATCATTTTGTACCGGGCCGCCTATTTTGCTTGGGCGCCGCCATCTTGTTTCGACAGCGCTTGAGAAAGTGCTTCTGGGTGAGCTTGTCGGTCGTCGGTTGGAAAGCGGCGTTTGGGTGCTGAAGGAATCCTCGCGCCTTAGTTTTGTCGAAGAGGGGGGGGCTTCAAACGAAGAGCCGTCCTGATGGCGGTGGAGTCTCGCGTTACTCAGGAGGAGATTAAGAAAGAGCCCGAAAAGCCCATCGACCGCGAGAAGGTACAAAGGAGGAGTTGAAGGTGGCGGGGAGAAGCAGGGGACGGCTGGCTGGCTGGTCGCTCGGCTCGCCTTGCCTTGGTCGTGCGTGCTGATGCCGGTACCGGTCCGTGGATCATTTTGTGATGCCGGTACCGGTCCGTGGTACAAAAAAGGTTGGGGACCACTGTGTTAACAGACCAGTAGCTTGCCAGTGTTGGTGGGTGTGGTCTTGGTTGCTCCTTGATTAGGCTGCGGTTTACTGTTTGAGTAAAAAGAATACCAAACCCCGCTCCCTTCTGGCACTGATGATGTTACCTAGTAAGGTGATAAAATGTCTGCAAGAATACAGCCGAACTCCAGAGAGCACCAAAGACCTCACAGCTCAAACCTGATTTACAAATATGCTCTTCTATAGGGATCGCATGGTCTGACCTGGACAACTGGAAGGCAGCAGGTTTGAATGCTCTGCTCTTGGGCCTTTTCTACGCTAGCTCTCCGTTGCTATCCATCCCCAGGCCATGCTGCTCTGCTTAGCGGCCTGCCACTGGCGGGGACGTGTGTTTCTGACATGGACCTGAATCTCTGCAGCTGAAACTGATATGAGCAGAAGCCACAGCTCTTTGTCCTGGTCTGTCAGGGCCCAGCTGCAGCGTGGTTTACAGCAGGGGTCTCCAACCTGGGCAACCTTAAGACTTGTGCGCTGAATTCAACTCCCAGAATTCCTCAGCCAGTGAAGCGAAGCTGGCTGAGGAACTCGGGGAGTTGAAGGCCACAAGTCTTCAAAGTGGCCCAGGTCGGAGACCCCCTGATTTACAGAGCCTCAGTGCAATGGCAGGAGAGTCAATGGCAACCTGGAATTAAGGAGAAGCTGCCTAACTGTGAGGACAATGAACCAGGGGAACAACAGCTCGGGTGAGGGAGCATGGCACGATCCCAGAAGGGGCTGCCATGTTTGGAGTGACCACCATTCAATGCGTCCACTCGGAAAATGGCATCCACTTCCAGGATTGCATCCTGTGGCCTGTCCTCCTCCCCTAACTTGAGCTCCAGAGTTCTGGGAAAGGTGAGTGGGGGGGGGGGGTGGGGAGCAGGGCCACGGCCCACGGAGACCCAATGGAGGGGGGGATGGAGGGGAGATAGTGGGTAGGGCACTGCAGTGGCCCTGGTTAGGGGTAACAGAGAATGACTGAGGGTTGCTGAGGCAGCCATAAGTTTGGGACCAGGTCGTAGGTAGATTTTGGTGGTCCAAAAAGGGCCGCCAAGCCACCAGTTGTAAATCAAGGACTATTCTGTACAGGAAATCCATGACTTACAACAGTTCGTTTAGTGATCGTTCAAAGTTACAATCATCATCATCATCTTTTCACAACCTCATAATCCCTTGTGGGATGGCAGTCTGGGCAACTGAATTGAGCTGAGTGTTTACTGGCCGGATGCCCTTCCTGTCGCCAGGGCGGAGTCATATCCAGCAGATATATTCTCATCGGGCCCAGAGAGAGAAGTATCTGCCTCTACCTTAGGATCGAACTCACAGCCTCCTGATTGTGAGGCGAGAGCTCCGCCGCTAGGCCACCGCACCCCCTCATTGTTCAAAGTGACAGTGGCGCTGAAAAATGTGACTTCTGACCGTTTTTCAAAGTTGCGACCATTGCGGTCATGTGATCAAAATTCAGGCGCTTGGCAACTGACTCACATTCAAGGCGGCTGCAGTGTCTCCGGGAGGGGGGGGTCACGTGATTCCCCTCTGGGGATCTTCAGGCAAGCAAAGTCAATGGGCAAAGCCAGATTCACTCAATCACCGGGTTACCAGCTTATCAGCCGTAGGGATTCGCGTAAGAACCGAGACAGGAAAAGTTTGTAAAAATGGGGCAAAACTCACTGAACCAACTGTCTTGCGTAGCCATGGAAATGTTGGGCTCCATTGTGGTCGTACCTCGAGGACCATCTTTACTAGGTTGAGCTGCCTTGCGTGGGAATTATTTTTCTCCTTTTAAGGAAAGTCCTGATTGCGGGGCAGGAGGAGCATCGGCGACACGCTCGGCTATCTCCCCCCACAACACAGCTGCCCACGGATCAACACGCCTCACCCCAGGAAGGCTGGTGAAATGGGATCGCTGCTCACTATCGACAGTCCACTCTGTTGACCAATTAAGCCTTTGCCACAATCAATTAACCGTTATGTAAACAGCAACTGTGTCAACCCGACAACTCCACTAAGCCAGGCAAGATTGGGAGACAAAAATGAAGCAATGGCTCTCATCGGCAGATAGGATTCAGCGGCCGAGCGATAAATAACTCCTGGCTGGGGAAACCAAAAAACATGTCAACATTTTTTACATGCCAGAATACACATTTGGGATGTTTGTTTGTATATCGGGCATCGTGTCTGCAGAGGGAGGAACATTTCCTCAGAAATGGATAGCGCAAAACAAACCGAAGCCTGAAAAATTTCCCAGCCCAACACGTCAGACTCGATGGACAGCAACTGTCGACAACCACATCCTGCTAGGAAGCAGAAGGAAATATTAAAAATCGACTTGACAAACGGGGTCCCCAGCCAGCGGTCCTCTCCATCCAAAAGAGACGATTTATAGGGAGCGAGGTTTCCAAGCAGAAGCATCAACAGCTCTCAACAGAGGCCGGGGCGGAGCAGAGAAAAATATGCTTTTCATTTAATATTGCAGGAGAAATTTGTGGGTATGGACTGCAATGGGGAGGAGGAAAAAAAAATGGGCTTGTGGGTTACCATGAGGATTAAATTGCAGAGATAAATGAGAACGTTGGATGTTAGAAGGCTGTCGGCCCAATGTATGAGCAGTTCTTGAGGCTGGAAAGTTACTCTAGGACAGTGGTCCCCACTGGTGGTCCGTGAGAAAATGTTGGTGGTCTACAGAGAAATGTCTCCCTCAAAGCAATTAATCCAGGCTGTGCGGGAACACAAGGCTACGCCGCCCACATGGCCCACAGAAACACAAGGCTTGCAAGTCGCTTACATTGTGAACAACACAAGGTAGTGAGGGGAGGGGGGGAAGGGCAGAGGGGGAGAACTTGCCCCACTCACCCCACACGCCTGGCCTGGCCATGGAGCTGCTTCTTTCAGCTTCTGCTTTTGGCTGCACGCAAGGAAAGCAGCAAAAGTCTTTCTTTCTCACCCCCAAACTCTGCCAGAAATGAGTCTTTGGGACTCTGCAAGGCCTCCTGCTCCAAGAGGCTGCGCCACTGCGACAAGTCTCACAAAGACTCATTTCTGGCGGAGTTTGGGGGAGAGAAAGAAAGACTTCTGCTGCTTTCCTTGCATGAAGCCAGAAGTCTCTCTCTCTCTCTCCCACCAAAGTCAGCAAACCACCGTCAGTCAAAATTCATATTAGTGGTCTACGGGATTTAAAATTATGAGTTTGGTGGTCCCTGAGCCTCAAAAGGTTGGCGATCCCTGCGTCTAGGAGGATTGTTCATTTATTTATTTACAGGTAGTTCTTGATTTTACGATTCATTTAGCGACTGTTCAAAGTTACAACAGCATTGGGGGAAAAGAAGTGACTTATGGCTCGTTTTCAAACCTATGATCGTTGCAACATCCCCATGGTCACGTGATCAAAATTCAGGTGCTTGGCAACTGGTTCATACTTATGACGGTTGCAATGCCTTGTGGTCATGTGAACCCCCTTTGTGACCTTATGACAAGCAAAGCCAATGGGGAAGCTGGGTTCACTTAACGACCGTGTCTAAAGGAACAACTGCAGTGGTTCACTTAACAACTGTGGCAAGAAATGTCTTCAATTGGGCCCAAACTCACTTAACAACTGTCTTTCCTAGCAATGGAAATTTTGGACTTGTGGTTCCAAGTTGAGGATCATTTGTAATGAAAGAGTTTTAAGACACCGCATTTCAATGCCTCTGTTAAATGTGGGCGTACCAGCCTCGAGCCTATATGGCAGGGGTGTCAAACTCAATTTCATTGAGGGCCACATCAGGGCTGTGGTTGACCTTGGAGGGCATGGCTGACTGGGTGGGCATGGCCAGCTTGACGCCACTCCCCAAACTGCTGGCATGTCTCCTTTTCATATTGGGTAGACCGGGCCAAAGCCACGCTGGCCTGATCTTTCCTCTTCGCACTGGGTAAACCAGGGCGGCCCTGCGGGCTGGATCCGACCACACTGTGGGCCAGATGTGGGCCTTGAGTTTGACACCCCTGGTCTATGGCACACCCAGAAACTCCCTCCCCTCTTGGTTCTCTTAAACGTGGGTGGACTACAACTCTCAGAATTCCTTCTTACTTATCTCTCATATTTAGATAGATAGCTCGCTAGCTAGCTAGAGACAGATAGAGACAGATAGAGACAAAGAGATGGATGGCTAGATAGATAGGTAGGTAGATATAAACAGACATACAAACACAGACAGACAGACAAAGAGATGGATAGAAATGAGTGGCTAGATGGATAGATAGATAGATATAGAGAGACAGACAGACAGACAAAGGGATGGATAGAAATGGATGGATAGAGAGACGGACAATAGAAGATGGATAGATGAACAGATACATGGATGAATGGATGGATAGACAGACAGACACACAGTAGATAAAAAGATGGAAGGATGGGTGGGTGGGTAGGTAAACAGAGAGGGAGACAGATAAAATATGAATCACATGGAGGCTTTTAGCATGGTCAAAAATAGTGACCGTTATTCCTGAAAAAAATCACTCAGAATGCCACATTTTGCCCAGCTACAGTATTTGTACGTCTTCACCAGACAAATGTTCATTTTTTTGCGCCTTTCGCTCCCACAAAAAGGAAAAGGAGTGGAATTTATAGACGAATATCCTCTCTACTTTTAATTCTTCCTACCGAGCAAGAAGCAATCATCCTTTTCTCCAACCGCTCAGCCATCATCGCACCTGCAGAGCTGACACGCCTCAGTTGAGGCAATTTTGGTAGCGCTTTGCAGGTGCACCCGTCAAGAGTCGGAAAGGGGGCACAAGTAAGGTGTTATTTTGCTTCTTGTTTTACCTGCGTAGCATCTTTGCCTTCAAGGCATTTTTTGTCTCATTCCAGGCGTCCAGCTCAGGCGACGTCAAAGGGGTAGGCTTCATGTGATCCAAAACCGTGTTGTCTTTTCCTTGTTTCCATAAGTCATACCGCTCAGGCTGTAGCACCCGCACAAAAACATCCATAGAGATCTTCACGGTGTCTTTCCGACAGGTGCACTGAAAGACAAAACAAAACAAATTCATGACAGTCATATAAAAAAAAGATATTGAGAAAGAGTGCAAGAGAAGAGCCACAAAGATGCTTAGGGGACTGGAGGCTGAAACATACGAAGAATGGTTGCAGGAATTCGGTAGGTTTGGTTTCATGAAAAGAAGGACTGTTGGGTGACAAGATACCAATCTTCTAATATCTCAGGGATTGCCACAAAAAGGAGGGGGGGCAATCTATTCTCCAAAGCCCCTGAAGGCAGGACAAGAAACAACGGATGGAAACTAATCAAGGAGAGAGGAAGGAACCTGGAATTAAGGAGACACTTCCTAACAGTGAGAACAATTAGCCAGAGGAACAACTTCCCTTCAAAAATTATGGGTGTTCAATCACTGGAGGCTTTTTAAGAAGAGGCTGGACAGCCATTTGTCTGAAATAGTATAGGGTTTCCTGCTTGAGCAGGGGGCTGGACTAGAAGACCTCCAAGGTCCCTTCCAGCTCTCTTGTTTTTCTTCAAATGATGATCATGTGATGTATCAAGGTACTAAATGTGGAGTCCTTGATGCTCTCTGAGCCTGCAGATATTTCACGACTCAACTAGGTCACATTATCAGTGCTAGAAGGGAGACTAGGATTTTTAAACATATTTCCACAGCATTCCTTTACAGGCCATTCAAATGCAATAATCAAAAAGCCCAAAAGGAAACAAAAAAGACCAAAATATTTCTTGGCCAACAATCAACACCCAGATTAGCAGAGATTAACATTAAGATTAACACTAGACAATCGCCAAGTAGTAGAAAGACGCTCCAATCAAGGAACTATTGATTCAGACAAACAACCCAACATTAAACAACAGCCTAACCAAGGAACCACTAAGAACACTCCCACAAACACTGAAAGGGAAGGCTCTGTTTATATTAACAGAGAGCAAATCCCTTCTAACACTGATGATGTTACCTAGTTGGGTCATGAAATGTAAGAAAACACCCAAGCTCAGAAAGCATCAATAACCACACAGCTTAAGTGTGAGTTACAAATATCCTCTCCTCAAGGTAGGAAGCCTGGCTGACAGAGCAGGGGGTTGAGAGAGAGAAAGCGTGGAGGGGTGGAGGGGTGTGTGTGTGGAGGGGTACATTTCACATTTCAAATAATAGCTCCCAAACGTTAGCTACAGAATATTATTAAGGATTTCCTCAGCTGGAAGTGAAACACTGATTGAGATAAGGAAATCTTGCCAGGCTGTCGCTCCAGAAAAAAAAAAAAAATTGTGTGCAGACTGTAAAACAAGAGAGAAACGGTTACGGAGCAGAGCCGGAAGGACGGAAGAGCAGGGGGCTAGCAGAAAGCCGAAGGAGGAGGATTTTAGTAGGCAGGAGGCTACGTCAAGCCGAAATAAGCTTTGGGTTAGGGTGTCCAGAAGATTGGGGGGAAAATGACAAAAGATGGGAAAGATTGGAAAGAAGGAAGCTTCAAAGAGGAAATGTAGACTGTTCAAGATGCTGGGAACCCAGGCGGTAAAGTTGATGGCTGAGGAACAGAGATAACACACAGACACGAGTGGTTTCACACAAGAGATTAAGACTGATTAATCAAGCTAAACAAATTGTTATCTGGGTTCCTTTTTTTTTTTTTTTGCATAAAATACAGAATGTACAGGTTCATCCTCGACTTACAGCCACAATGGAGCCCAACATTTCTGTTGGCTAAGTGAGACATTTGCTAAGTGGGTTTTGTCCCATTTTCTTGCCACAGTTGTTAAGTGAATCACTGTAGCTGTTAAAGTTAGTCACACGGCCGTTAAGTGAATCTGGCTTCCCCACTGACTTTGCTTGTCGCAAAAGGGGCGCTGCAACCATCATAAATATGAGTCAGCTGCCAAGCAGCTGAATTTTGATCACGTCTCAGTGTGCCCAGAGAGAGAAAATATCTGCTTCTACCTAGGATCGAACTCACAGCCTCCTGATTGTGAGGTGAGAGCTCCACCTCTAGGCTACCGCATCACTCTTGGTTTATCAACACAATGCAGGCCATTAATATATTTTTAAAAAGAACAAACCCGCCTCCTTTTTAGTGCTGATGGCGTTACCTAGTTGGGTAATATGAAACAACTGCAGGAAAACCACCAAGTTCAGAGAGCACTAAAGACCCCACAGGGCTGACAATAGCAAATACAACTTACAACAGTCGAGGTTCGCTTAGCGACCGTTCGAAGTTCCAAACATTACTGAAAGAGTGACTTCTGACCGTTTTTCACAGTTACGGCTGGTGCAGCGGTCGCGATGATCAAAATTCAGACGCTTGGCAACTGACTCATATTCCGAGATCCCCTTTTGCACTTTCCAATAAGCAAAGTCCATGGGGGAAAAAAGCAAGATTCCCTTAACAACTGTGTGACCAATTTAACCAACTGCAGTTGAGTCCCTCCACCACCACGGCAAGAAAGGTCGTAAAATGGGGCAAAACCCGCTTAGCAACGGTCTCACTGCGCAGCAGAAATTTGGGGCTGAATTGTGCGGGAGGACCACGTGTCATCCATCCAGATTCTGGGCCAGATTCTTTTGTTTAAGGACGGGCTCCCCTCCCTGTTTTTACAGAAGAAAATATTCTGCTGCCATGTGGTGAAAAAACATCGAACTGGAGAGCGGTAATAAGTAGCTTGAGCCAAGGAGGGAGGGAAATATTTATGGGCCGGCAACTTCCAGCAAAACCCAATTTGCTTAATGAAAAACTGCAGAGGAAAAGAAAGTTCTGAGAATGTAATTTGGCCAGAGACACACTGAATCACAGATGGTTAGCCGTGTTCCAGATTCCTGGCTGGGCGGAAATAAAATCTCCTCAGCACCTCCATCGATAAGGTAGCTTAAGGAAACTGGATTGAGCGGCTTTCTGACCTCCCCCCCCCCTTTTAAGTAATTAAAAAAGGTACCTTAGTTTGTTTCTGGAAGGTTTGTTGGGGGTGGAACAAGGGAGGAGAGGGAGGAAGGGAGAAAAAGTTGGGATTGAACTTGGAAAAAAAATCAAGATATTTCCACATCGGATGCTTCTTCCCCTTCTCTGCATTGGAGCGAAATTGAGATCAAGTGCGTAACACAGGAGATATACTCCATCTTTAACTCACCAGGTGCTAATTAATGGGGCTCTTAATAGAAACCACTAGCAAAAAACTAGAGTGGGCAGTGATGTCCCTTGTAGGTCGTAGAGAGGATGGAGCCCACTAGAATGACCTTGCAAACAGTCCATAAAGCAGATAGCATTTTCTAGATGCCCTGTTTTATGACTCAGCCTGGATTTTAGGAGTTCAGAGTCATAAACCTTCCAGAAGCCAGTCCTACTGTGTAGAAACTGTGGGGTCCTTGGTGCTGACTGAACTTGGTGGTTTTCTTGCAGATGTTTCATTGCCCAACTAGGTAACATCATCAGGGCTAGAAGGGAGAGTGGTTAGTGGAGTAGATCACGATGATGAGGGGGAGGACTGTGGGTCCTTGGTGCTTTCTAAGCTTGGTTGGGTTTTTTTGCAGATGTTTCATTACTCATCTAGGGAAAATCATCATGGGAATAGGTTTTGGGAGGAGGAGGAGGAGGAGGAGGAGGAGGAAAGGACTAGGGGGGTTCTCTGAGCTTGGTCGTTTTCTTGAAGACCTTTCATTATCCAACTAGGTAACATCATCAGTGCTGGAATGGATGGTGGCATTTGCTCTCTTTTTATATACAAGTAGCTTGTCCTGTGAGTGTCGGTGAGAATGTTCTTGTAGAGGTTTCATCACCCAACTAGGGAACATCATCAGTGAGTGGGATATGTGGAGTAAACTGTGAACTGTTGTAAATCAAGGACTAGCTGTATCGTTTACTGCTTGATTGTTGGTCCAGTATTAATCTTGATGCGGATTCCTTTGTTTTGTCAAACAGAGCAAATCAAAGAACTTTCATTTCATTCATGCAATGCCATAGTTCTACATAAATTATAATTCGTAATTAATACAATTGGTGGGAAATAACCCCCCCACACACTTTTAAAGTTTACACCCTGTCCTAAAGTGTGTGTGTGTGTTTGGGGAGGAGGAAATGGGCAGAGGTGGCTTTCGTTCCTGGCGTTCACACATTCCAAAACATCCCTTTTCTAGGAAACCTCAACCACTCCATCAAGAAAATAGCTGAGCCGGAGGTTTTTTCCCCCCTAAGATCAAAAAAATTAGAAATAATAAAAAAAAGACCTTCTCTTGGCACCCCACATATTTACTGCGGTTTAAAAAAAAGCTTAAGTGATAAGTTTCACTTCGTAGCCGATGGATAAAAGGTAGCCGAAATGAAGCATTCCAAGCAAATAAATTGCGAGATGATTAAATGACTACCATTCAAAAGCTGGCTTAAAGTCAGACAATCAATTCAAATGCCTCGAGCGATGTAAGGAAAAACGGGCCGGGTGTTTTATGCCAACCGAACCTCCCCTTGGATGGGAAGGGAGAGCAACTGGGAGATCAAGGCCCCTCGCAGGCTCTTCTTCTGGGCTGGGCTGCTGAGCACCTCCTGCCTCCTCTGCCCCCACAGAACCTACAGGTGGAGGAGAGCCCCCACCTGACCACCTTAAAGCAGCGCAGAGCAGCAGCAGCAGCAGCAGGTTGCTTCTCGTGTCGCTGGGGAGTTATTGCCGAGCTGGTTTGTGCGTTCACGCCACCGTATGTGTACGTGTGGCTGGGCAGATCTTCTTCGTTCCAGAACATGGTTCGGCTGAGTTGAATGGGCAGGAACCATCTCAGGCAGGAATAACCTGAGAATGCCCAATCCCTTGGCTTGCCTGGGCTGCCCTGAGTGAAGAGGAACCGCCCTGGGCCACGTGTAAAAAGGTGGCTTAAAAATCACACCATCGTATTAACAAGTTTATAATCTCACGAGGCATTCTAGACAGACCTGGACGTATGGCCACAATCGAGTCGCACATTTCTGTTGCTAAGCAACACATCTGTTAAGTGAGTCTTTCCCCCACTTTACGACCTTTCTTGCCGCCGTT